GATAGGTAGTCAGGTAGGTGATTAGGTAGGTAGCATGGTTGGTTCCAACTCTCGAGATCATGGCTTTGGGTGATGTAGTCATGGATGTTGAGTGTGGTCACCAAGAGACTCACAAAACCACGTCTGGTGAGCCTTGAGAAATACCATGTAGTTCATTGCTGGTCTGTCGTGACGTCCTTGGCTGGCGGTTGAGCTTGAGCCTGCTGGGCTTGTCGCTGGCGCTGTCCATCGTAAAGTCCCGAGTAGTATCCCGCCCAGTAATATGCCATTTTGATATTTTCGAGCGTCTGGTCTGGTGAGAGGCCTGTTACGGTGGCGGTGGCGGTGGCGGTTGGTGGTACTGCAAGGTACCTAAGTTAGAAGAGACACAATGTGTAATAGACAGTCGTTGGGGGAAGAGGAAGTGAAACACGAGGTTTTGGAAAGATGGGAAGGGGAAGGGAATAGATGGGAAGAGGCCCATACCTTGCTCGTTCACGATAGCACTGGTTGGGGGTAAGCTTGGTCCTATCGCTGGAGTTGTCGTCGTCGTTGTTGTCGATGGCTGTTCCAATGTTGACTGTGGTGGATGTTTCTGTTGTCCGTCTGGCTCGTCTAACAAGGATTTGAATTGATCCATGGCAGCTTTGCGTCTCTGCTCGAGACCATCCGGGCCGCCTTCGGGGCCATCCTCATCTTCCACCTCGCCACTCTCGGATCTGGTGTCACGAGCAGCAGCAGCATCGGCAGTAGTTTCGTTTTCATCGGCCGCCGCCGCAGCAGCTGCTGCAGCAGTTGCAGCCTCAGCCGGTGTCTCTGGATGCACAGGTCGCCACTGTCCTCCCATGTCGACATCAGCATCGGTATTCTCGTCGTCGAGTTCGCCCATCTCGGCCTTTCGGAGAATCTCTTCCACGTCTTCGCCCCGTGCGTGGATACTGTGGTAGTACTAGTGTTCCACGTTAGAGGCAGAAAAGAAAAAGAGGCCAAGGATTGAGAGATAGACAGTAGAATGTAAATTGTTTGTCGCGGGATTCATCTGTGTAGTGCTTATATGGTATAATCCCAACGACACCATCGAGTTATCATCTGCCGTAGCTTGGCGAGGTGCGAATTTGGTGGACTGGTAAAAAAAATTGCTCATACATACCTCGTACTCTGCAACAGCATCGTTCCACGACCGGATCAGCGCCGAATCGTCCCATATCTCGGCCTGACTGAGCTCTCCCTTTGTCAAGTGGCTGGTCTTTTGCTTTTTCCTTCTTGTCATTGTCACGGCGGGGGCCAAGAGAAGACGGGGAGAAGTTTACAGTGGTGTATTACAGTGCGTGAAATGGATTCTAGTGGACGGCGAGGTTGATAGTCGAGACAGACAGACAGCGTTGCGATGCCAATTTTGGAGCTAGAGACGCGATTGGGCAGCCTTGTTGGTCGTCCGCCACAAGGCTCTGGATGAATGACTTTTGTCACTTCAGCACGAAGCAAGTCGATCGCTCTGCATTCCATCAAACACATTACACGTCCAGCAATATTTTGGTCTCGTGGCGAATAGGGTGTTTCTACATTTTCCACCGATTGGTTTGACAACCTCGCAAGTCATTTATCTGGGTCTTTGTGATAAGAAATATCAAACACCTCCACAATCTACCAACAGAGCTTATCTCACAACTAAATCGAGGACTGACTCCTCCAAAAATTTCCCAGAATGGGATCCCGCTCAACAACAACTACATCTCCTGCCGACCTCTATCAACGTCGTGCCTGGACGGTCCTCGACGCACTGTACCTGTGGACCCTCGTGATCTTGCTCGCCCCATTCCTCCTCGTCGACATGCACGTCCCTCGTCGCTTCGCCCCGGCCCAGGGACGGACACCCAACGGAGAGTCTTAGTCTTTGTTGTGACTGAATCCGTATCTGATCAAAACCTGTCTGTTTGTGGGAATTCGTACATCCGCAGATACGATCTGGTTTGGTGGTCCAAAGGGAAATCGGCCTCAACCCAGTTCGACTCTTCCCACGTCAAACGCGACAGCTCTAATCACCTGGCACTATAATGCACCCAGAAGAGCAATGCTCAAAGTGGTCGAAGCCACTAATATCCTACAAAATGCTGGACGTTCAATGCGAATATGAAGCAAACCCTTGTGATGGACGAACAGGCATGAGAATATTAACTAAATGGGGTATCTATCTTCCAAAAAAGTGTAAGGAGCAAAGCGCTCAGTCAACAAACCCAAGCTTCCTAGCTGCAAGTCCAATAAGCCCGATACTCGTACAAATTGGGTTCCACAATATATCATCTTTAGCTCAGCTCAGCTTCGAGAGAAGAAGGCGGGAAATGGTGCAAAATCAATTCAAATCGCTCAGATCGGAACTGTCGTCCTCGTCGCTCAAAAAATGCAAGCCAAAACACATGAATAGGTGCAAGTCGAGTATACAAGCCAACAGGATAGGAAGACATGGGTATCGAAGCGAGTGGTGATGCCGAATGTCAAAACAATGTGTCGCTGTATGCTTGCAGGATCGCTTCCTGGCATACAACAAAGTCGGGCGAGGAAGAAAGCGCTGCTTCTGGACGGCATGTCCATGTCCACCCCAGCAGACATCCTCGCCCAAAGGCGTCATGATCTGGGCGCAACATCTGGCGCCGCTTTTGTTCCCCCCCATACTGGGGGGGTATCGAGTGCACAAGGTGATCCTCCACCTTAGAAAAGACCTCCGAGGAAGCTCCTCCTCTTGCTGTCATTCTTGCCGCCGAGTGCTGGACGTCCGTCCCAAGTTTTGACGGGCGCCTCCTCATAGCCATAGCCGCGACCATCAGACTGTTCGCGGTCTCTGCGCCGACGTCGTTCTCTTCGTTCTCGCTCCTTGTCTCGCTCGTCGCTGCCTCCACTGGCTGATTTGCCCTCGGCGCGACGCGAGTTCTTCTTGCGAGCACGGTATTCTTCGATTTCTGCGTCCGTCATCCCTGCATATTTGTCGCGATGGCGACCATTGCGTTTAGCTCCGGGCCCCTCGTCCGCTGCTCGTGGCTTTTCGCCACTCGGATCGAGGATTGTGCCCTCTACAGGTGGGAGGTCGGGTGGCTCGTCAGCTTGAGAGTTGACCCATGAGCTGGTCTTGTTGGCTGGGGGTGCGATTCCTTTACCGCTGCCACTTCGAGATTCGTGATATTCTTCAACCAGGACGCTGGATCTCTTGCGGCTCGACCTCTCTTTGTCTTTGTGTTTCCGATCATCTTTCGGTTCTTTCCGCTTTCGTCTTTCCTCCTCTTCTGCATAATATGATCTGCGACGATCGTCTTTCGAAATATCGCGATTGACTCCTTGCTCAGCCTCGAGCTGCGCACGAAGTCGCCGGCGCTCTTCCCGCCGGCGGTCGGCTTCTGCGTTCGCCTCTGCCTCTTCTTGTGCCGCGCGTGCTTCTCGGGCGGCACGTCGAGCCCGCTTTTCTTCGCGACGCTTCTCTTCCTCCTCTTGTTCTCGTCTTTCACGCTCCCGAGCTTTGCGTTGACGAGCTTCGAGATCCGCCTTTTCACGCTCTCTTCTTTCCTTCCGTTTGAGCTCACGCTCGACGCGATCGGCTTCTTCTGCCTGGTCACGCGCTTCACGTTTGGCCCTTCTTTCAGCCCGTCGAGCTTCCATGTCGGCATCTGTTTCAGCGGGCGCATCTGTGGTGAATTCGTCCCCGTCCACAACTCGGGAACGCCTCTTTGTTTTATCTTTAGTCCTGATAGGTAGGTCTTCCCCATCGGTCAGAGTGTAGCTCCGATGTCGCTGTCTGTCCCCGTCAAAAGAACGAGAACTGCCAAAGAAGCTGCCAAAAAACCCTGTCGATTTCCTCGGGGCAGTGTTGCTTCTCTTCAATGCAGGCGGATGATCCACAAACGCCATGTCGTCGGGTCCGCTTGTCACCAAGGGGTCTGCATGTGTAGGGCTCTCGACCATGACAACATCATCGTCCTGGGAGATATTTTTGCTGTGTGACTTGATCTGCGTAAAGGAAACCCGTCCGTCAGCATGAAGTTCTTTATTGAAATCCGGCGACCAGGACGGGCGGAACACGTGGCCTAGATTTAACGAGGAGGGTCGTGCACCTACCTCTTTCTTTGATCTGGAGGACCTAGACTTTGAATTTTGGGGGACAGCGACGCTATTCACAACCGGAGGATCGTCGTTGGTATGGATCATGACCATGTCATCATCGTCAATGGGATATGGGTCTGGAACAGCTAATGACGGCGGATTAGCTATCATCTGGCTTCCCGCGGTCATAATCGTTGACTTACCTGAAGATTTCCTCTTCACCGATGGACGGCGTTCGACCTTGCTAGACTTCATTCCCATGAGCTTGGCGGCTTTGTCGGTGACCTGGGGTTCATCCTCAGGTGGAGGAGACGCGAACCCATCGATGGATTGACGGCGAGACGACGGCCTTGAACTGCCCGCACTGCTTGGTCTTCGACTGGTGGTCTTGGAACGCGGCATAGCCGACGGCGGTGGTCCTCCAAACATGAAATTCGAAAACGAGGTACCACGCGCGGCCTTTGGTCTCTCGGCCTTCTTGGACTTGGCCTCCTTGTCAGATCCAGATGACTTGGAGAGCTTTTCAGCTTCTTTCCTGTCCTCCAGTTCCTTTTCTTTCGGAGTCCGAGTGGACTTGGTTCTGGTCAGGCCGGTTGGTGATTTCTCCTTCTTTGGTGGTGGCGGCGGCATGTCGTCCTCGTCCTTTGATTTGTCTTTGGTAGCTTTCTTCGGCGGAGGTGCTGCACCCCAGAATCCCCAAGAAGTGGTTGCGGATCGTTCAACTCTGGGCCGTTCTTTTTTGGACGATTTCTTGTCTTCGATGGGCGGGGAGGGGGCCTTGGGCGCTGTTTCTCCCTCAAATAGGCCTATGTCGTTTGTCGCTGAGTCCTTGGGTGTGGTTGTCTTGGATTTGGCACTCTTTTTCCCAACAGTGGTGGCCTTCGCCTTGGGCTTTTCAGGTGATGTGGGCGATAGGTCGAGGACGTCGTCGAGAAAGTCGTCGTCGTCACCAAACGCGCCAGGGAAGCTGCCAGGGATGGAGTCTTTTGATCTCTTCTCTTCTGTGACCGGCGACGCGTCTTTCTTGGAGGCCTTGGTCGTCTTGCTGGCAGAAGCTGTCTTCGTCTTGGAGGCTGGGGCCTTGTCAATATACGTCTTTTCCTCTTTCGGCGATGGCGCGTCGTCTAGTGGAGGCAATTCCTTAGTCAGCGCAGCTTCGGCCTTTGACTTTTTCTTGCTCTCTTCCTTTTTGCCCTCCAGAGCCTTGATGCGATCGGCGACAGAGGAGCTAGTTTTGGTCTTTGTCGAGGTGAGCATTGCCTTTGCGGCCTTGGAAGTAGAAGAAGGCTTTTCAAAGTCAAATCCCGAGTCCAGATCTCTCGAGAAGTCGGCTAGCGCGTCATCCTGATCGGGCCACCCCTGCTGGGTAATTTCCTTTTGTGAGTCCAAGTCCTTCTTGCCAGCTGTCTTCTTGGATGTTGACGCGCTACCCCAGAAGCCAAAATAGTCGTCCTCTTTCTTGTCTTCAGCCTTTTCCTCTTTGTTGGACGACGTCTTTTTCAGCTTCGACCCCTTCTCGGATTTGGAGGCCTGTGTGGGCTCGCCGAACATGTCAATGAGCTCGTCGGCATCCTTTGCTTTGCTGGCTCTCGCATCCGTCTTGGACGATTTGGTGGTCTTCTTTTTCGAGCTCTTCGCAGCTTCTTCAGCCTCGCGAGCGAGCCTCTCCTCTTCTTCCTTTCTAGCCTGTTCCTCCGCCTCCAGTCTGGCCTTCTCTTCTGCTTCCTTCTTCGCCTTTAGCTCCTCCCTTTTCGTTAATTTGGTGGTTGTAGTCGAGGCACCAAAACCCCACATGCTCTTTGTAGCGCTGACTGGAGTCACGTCTGGCAACGGTTCGTCGGCCGGGGCAAAGTCAAAAGACTCATCTGCTTCCTTGCTTTTCTTCGTCTTGTCCTTTCCTGTTGACAGCTTTGAAGTCGTGCTCTTTTTCGACGATGCCTTGCTTTTCACTTTGGTCAGACCTGCCCATGTGTCTCCGCCCAGGTCATCATCCATCATTTCCGCCGGATCAGGCTCCGGAGTTAGACCCTGAGCTGGAGGACTTGGAGCTGGGGGAGGAAGGTCGTCCTTGCCCTTTGATTTCTTACTGCCCTTCTTCTCCTTTGATCCCCAGGAGCCCCAGATAACATCTTCAGCAGGAGGTGCGGGTTTATCAGACTGTTGAGGCACTTCGACCTCCGCGATACCTTTCTTCTTCGAGTCCTTGGCTCCCTTCTTCTTGTCCTTTGCTGAGGTGGCCCAGGAACCCCAGGTGTCGTCCACCTTTTCTTCCGCTGGTTCTGGTTCGATGATGAGCTCGGGCTCGGCGGGTGGATCTTCGGTGGCTGCTCCTTTCTTCTTCGCCGCCTTCTTCTTGTCTTTCGATGAGACGGCCCAGGAACCCCAGCCATCGTCGTTCTTTTCCTCCACCGGTTCTGGCTCTACAATAGGCTCGAGCACAGGTTCTTGTTCGGGAAGTTCGCTAGTGATTCCTTTCTTCTTGCCGGCTTTCTTCTTATCCTTTGCCGTCCCCCAAGAGTTCCAGGCACTGTCGGTCTTTTCTTCCACCGGCTCTGGTTCGATGACAGGTTCAGGCTCAGGCTCGGGTTCAGGGATTGCGACTGCGGCTCCCTTCTTTTTTGCTTCTTTCTCTTTTTTCTTCCTTTCTTTAGCCGACAGTCCGAAGAAACTATCTTCTTCTACAACATCTGCAACTGGCGCAGGTTCCGGCTCCGGTGGGGGTGGAGGGGGTTCCTCGTCAATATCCAAGAAGCCTTTTTTCTTGGTGTCTTTGGCCTTTTTCTTTTTATCACTGGAAGAAGTAGTACCCCATGGAGACCAGCCATCGTTATCCTTGGACTCAGGTTCAACGTGGGACTCGGGCATGGCTGGCTCATCGAGCACATCGAGAAATCCGCTCTTCTTGGCGTCTTTCTCCTTCTTTTTCTTGTCCTTCGCCGAAGTTGTGAACGCTCCCCAGGTATCATCTTCCTTGTCTTGTATCTCAGGAGCTGGAGGGGGAGGTAGTGGCTCTTCAACCACGTCTAGAAGTCCCTTTTTCTTCCCCTTCTTCTTGTCCTTGCTGGAAAAGCTCCAAGCCGTTTCCGGCTCCTCCTTCGGAATCGGCTCTGGCTCTGGAGGCGGCGGCGGAGCTTCCTCCTCATAGTCAAAGAAGCCTTTCTTCTTGTTCTTCTTGTCCTTAGTGGATGTGCCCCAACCACCAAAACCCCAAGAGTCATCTCCTTTGGTGGCTTCCATCTCAGGTTCCGGCTCTGGTAATGGGTCCGGAGCCGGCGCTGGAGCTGGAGGTTCGTCGCCAGGAATAAGCAGTCCTTTTCTCCTAGCCTCCTTTTCTTTCTTTTTCCGCTCCTTTGCGGAAAGATTTGCCCACCCAGTAGTGTCAGCATATTCTTCTTTGACCGTCTCCTCTAGTGGTTCGATTTCGACAATAGGATCTGGAATTGAGGGTTCAGGACTGGTTACTTTACCCTTCTTCCCCTTTTTATCCTTTTTGCCGATTGAGGACCAAATGTCGTCTGGTTCGGCTGGTGGCTCGACTGGCGGCGGTGGCGGCTCTTCTTCAATGACGAAGCCTTTCTTGCCCTTCTTATCTTTTTTGCCCTTTCCCGTTATAGGCTCATCAGCTGCTAGAGTATCACTTGTTGTCGTCTTAGCATCAGCGGTGCTCCCGAAGTCGACAGAAGCAGACAAATCTTCGATACCCGCCTTTTTGCCTTTCTTGTCCTTCTTCTTTCCCCAAGCCCCAGACATCCAGTCGTCACCGTCATCGACTGCTTGGATTGGCTCTTGGGCAGGAGCAGGTATGGCTAGAAGATCATCAGTGTCATTGAAATCGCCGAAAGCACCCTTTTTTGCCTTCTTGTCCTTTTTGCCTGTTCCAAATCCCCATTCGAAGGCATTGTCCATGGCTCCGTTGTCAGCAACAGTTTCCTTTATGTCGGCAGGAGGTTCTTCGATGACGCCCTTTTTCCCTATCTTCTTGTCTTTCTTCGTCGTGAAACCTGACCATTCGTCCTCCGCAGCCACAGGCTCTGGGTCTGCTGGTGGCGGAGGCGGCGGTGCAGGATCTTCATCGTAAAATCCTTTCTTTTTCTTATCTTTCTTCGAGGTCGAGGTCCCCCAAGCACCCAGAAGGTCGTCATCTTTTGAGCCTGGGTCCACCACAGTAGTCTCACTGAATCCATTATCTTTCTTCTTCTTGTCCTTCTTGTTGACGGTGGAAAATCCCCAAGCATCATCAGTGGGCTTACTGTCGGCCATGTCTCCATCAAGAGCGAAACCTTTGTCGCCAGAATCCAGGTCACCAAAATCGAAACCGTACGAGGTAGTCGTCTTCTTTTTCGACTTGTTACTCAAGGACCAGGGGTTAGTCTCTCCAAGCCCACTCGATTCCTCCTTCTTGTCGTTATCCCTCTTAGAAGCCTTGTCGTCGACTTTTCCCGTTCCAGTATCGAGTGATCCAAAGTCCCATGTTTTACCCCAGGCACCAAAGCTTCCCGCGTCCTTCTTGCTGTCAGTACCACCGAAACTAAATTCTAGCTTCGGGGCACTATCATCTAGACTGATGTCTTGGAAAGCCGCGCCTGGAGGATCTGGAGCAGAAGGAAGAGGCTCGTCGATCCCCTAGCAAAGTCAGCATCATTAGGATTAAAGTCGGTGGATGAAAGTACCTTTTTGTTCTTCTTCTTTTTATCCTTTTTGGTGGTGAAACCTGTAGTCCAGTCATCCTCCACTGCAGCGTTATTCGCCTCGTCAGCCCAGCTTAATGGGTTTGCAGCCTCTTCTTCCTCTTTCTTCTTCTGCTCCTCCTCCTCTTCCTGCCTTTTCCTCTCTTCCTCCTCTTGCTTCTTCTTGTTCTTCTTCTTGTTCTTCTTGCTGCCACCAAAGTCCCACTCTTCCTCGTCACCGCCTCCCCCATTGTTGTTGTCATCGCCGCCGCCATCGCCACCGGCGCTTCCGCCTTGATCACCGCCTCCAGCCCCAGCATCTTCACCATTGCCAGCAGCATTCCCGTTTCCTTCGTTGTCTGACTCGAGCCATTTTGCCGGAGCAGCTTTCCCGGCTTTCTTCTTCTTAGCTCTAGACTGTACCCCGTACAAGCCACCAAAATCTATGCGAGCATCCATTGTCGCAATCCGGGCCGTCGGCTTTTTATCAGGAGACAAGGATCGAGGGTGATCCGGTGAGGTGAATACTTGTGCGTATGCCGCTGGTACTTGCCAGTCTTGCAATGGCAGCGAGTCGTCGCTGGACAGGGAGGAGCAGCTTCCATAAGGCTGAGGACGGTCTGCTAATTCCTGCAATAAGGCTGCGACCAGCGCAGCTGCTCTTAGGTAGACATTGTAGTTTGGAGTGGAATACTGTCGTCCGTGTCAGACAAGATCCCAGTGCGAGAGGAAGAGGGGAGGGGAGGAGGCGGGATCGCAAGCTAAGAAAGAAGAAGTAGGGGCTTGCACTTGACAGATGTGCGTTAGAATGGAGTAGTGTTCTGCATACCCGTTGTCCTGGCTTGTAGTTCTGAAGCATGGCGGTGTGCATGCGATGGCGCCAATCGGCAATGCAAGGTGTTGGAGAAATACACCCAACCTCCGCCATGTCGTAAAAGGATAGTGTTGCAGGGTCAGCCTTTGCCATCTTCCACCATCTCGGGGTCCTTTGTTGGGAAAACGCGTTTTCTCTGCCGGCGGGCGACGCGGCGACCAGAGCCGCCATGCTGTAGCTGTTGCTGTAGCTGGGCAAGACGTTTCGACCGATTAAATTGGGAGAGCATTTGATGCGGCAGCGGCGACGCGAAGCAGATGGATAGAAAAGCAGACAAAAAGAGAGTGAGGCTACGTCTACACAGCCTCTGGTATCGAGCGATAGAAGAACTGTGAGCAGTGGTTGAGCTGGGAAATGCAGCGTCAGGAGGTCACAAGGTGTTTGACTTGCTCATTGGTGTGCAAAACCAAACCCAGGTGCCAATGGGGCAACAGCGAAGACGAGCGGGCAAATGACAGCGGGTGTGCCACAGCGCCCCCTTGCAGTCACGCTCCTCTGGCTGCGCAGATCCCAGCAACTCAGCGACTCGCCTGGCCAGAAACAGTCAAGGGGGGAAAGCCAATACCACACCCAGGCCTAATATCTGCTAGTTATCACCCTCCCTATCGATACACAAACTGGGGGGAAAGGAAGAAAAGGAGAAATGAGGTCACTCATATACCCTCATCCAGCCGGCCAGAAATCCCACTCCTCGTTGGAAATTTTCATCAATGCCCAAACGACTCCATTCAATGCATCAATTGCATTTTGGAGAATCTGGCGGTGTTGACCTGCAGAGCCAACAACGAATGACGCGCCTGACAAGTCTCGGTGGTTATGCAGGCAAGCAATCGATGTGGCAACGAATCGCTCACCGCTACAATTACACACGAACCACCAGACAAATAGGAGAGGAGTAGATGGCAAGCCAGTTGGTGATGGGTTGGAATGCGCGAGACCAGCAAAATTAGCAGCATTCCAGGAAGACCGGGCTGTGGATGGTGGGTGGATGGGCTGTGGACCAAACGCTGCACACCACCTTAGGAGTTGTCTAGGAGTTGTCTGGCGTGGGAGATTCCCTAACACCCTGATAACTGGGATGCGTGCTGGACAGTTGCAATTGGCCCCTATTGAGGTGAAAAGGCAATCGACCCACACAAACGTGCCCCCGATGTGATCCGAGCCTGCCAACACTCATCAGGGGGTGACTGAGTTGGGGTCGTACAGTTATCGTAGGAACAAGCGCAGGGTAGAAGACCCTTTGGCACGAATACTCTCTTGGTCTAGGAAATTGTGACTTGTTCGATGCTTGCAGAGCCGCAAACCGGTGAAGCACTCGGGTTTCTGGGTGACGGGCGCAGGTAGAATACGAGGACAACGAGACGCGATGCAGGGCAAAGTGCAGAGCCAACGCAGTTCATCGGCAGGGACAGGGACGCCCCGTGTTCGCTGCTGCAGCCACTCGGCGATATTTCACAGGTGGAAAGAGAGCTGCCACCATCCCCGTTTTAGGCGGGCGCAACCACTGATGCATTGCCAGTCGCGACAAAACGCGCAGGGAGCTGCAGAATCCAGAGGCCGCCTCGCCGCTCAAGAGGCCAGACAGTTTGCATCATTATTATTGGTAGGAGGGGCCGACCAGCTCCTTCCTTCCTTCAATAGACAAAACAAAGCCAAGATTCTCGGTCAGATTGTCTCTTAGATGCGCAGCCGGGCGCATTTGCGCGTTGATGGACCATCAACATGATGCCGTCATGCGGGCAGCTGGTCAGACTGGCCATGGTGGCCATGGTGGCCACTTTGCTGGACTTACTCATCTTCATCAGAACTGTAGGCGACCAGACTAAGTCCAACAGCTGGTTGTGGACGCGCAGCCGCCTTAGAAGGCTCAACCTCGTCGTCGATGCCTAGTTTATTGACTGGTGAAGCGCCCTCTGCGGCTGCATCTTGTTGATCTTCATCAGCGTCAGCTGGAGTGGTAGTATCAGCAGTAGTTGACACCTTCCTCAGCTTGGAATCAACCTCAGACTCATTGTCCTTTTCTCGACGTCTTTTCTTCTTTTTGACGGCCCACGATTCTTTGTCTGCAGGGTTTCCAGGTGTCCCGGCTTCGTTACCCCCCATTAGCGCTTGTTCGGCGGCGGCACGTTGTTTGCGAAAGACCTCGAGTTGTTCGGCCGTCTCTTGCTTGACGGCGTTCTCCTTTGCTCGACTTGATTCGAGCACGGAGTCGAGAAACTCCACTTCATCATCATCAAGGGCACGGAACTGATTTTTGAGCCGAATGGACTCCTCAAAAGCCTCCTGTTTAGCAGCTGGGGAGCACCAAAGTCACAACCGTGTCAGCGTTGATCGGTTGCTGCTCCAGAAAATCCCAGATTTCTATTCCTTACCCTTGTTTGACTGCAGTACCTCATAAAGACTCTTGCCCCCTTCTTGCGTTCCCCCGTCGACCTTCTTGGGCCTCCTCAATGACTCGACTTGTTGCTGCGCTTTCACCCAAGCATCGTCAGGTGCGTCGGCATCGGTCCCAGCTGGTACAAATCGGGACATTGTCACGGATATATATCACGAGGCCCGTGGTAAGCTGCCGGTGCTGATCAGGATAAATTCTTCATCGGGGGCTAATTCGTCGAGGCCAAGGGCGAGTGTCTGGCCGTGGGTCAGGGCCGAGTGAGATTTGTGCGGGTTTCCTCCGTCATGAATAATGTCAAAATGGACAATAATAATCGCAAAAGCGTCCGGGTAGCGGTTATTTACTAGACTCACTGGGTTCACTTTGCACGACACGTTAGAGCCCGAGTTTTGTGGAGGAGGAATGCCACCTGCCACCACCCCACGAGTTTCCTCTGCACACTCGCCTCTCCTTCCCTTCACTCTCCCTCGCCTGGGCATGCGGCCCGGACATGGCCCTCGATCTCAATCTTCACCAAGATCTGGACCCTTTTCTCCTCCTCGTTTACTCTTCACAACGCGGTGCCTGCCATGGCTGCATGGCTACATAACGTCGCTCCAAGTTCATTCCGAGCCTCGCCCCTCGTAGTGGGGATCCCTGCTCCGTGCCAGGATGAGATACGAGTATGCTACGAGACTTCCGGGCGCATGTGGACATGAATTATCCTCTTGATATTTATCCCCATCCTTTGACCCAGTCGATCATTTCAGCCTAAATGACGGCAAACAAATTTGATCTAGAATATTCCCAGTCCTCCGTTTCAACTGCATATGGAGGTCAGGCTCCATAACCCGCCAATAACGGTTCGGGTCACCAGGTGCGACGATTGAGCCGTGCCCCTCGTGGTTCTGATTATTGCGTAGCTGTTGTTGCATCGCAAAGGTTGATTGCCCCACCTCCAAATCTTTCAATGCGAAGATTGCCCACCGGAATATAGCTGCAACTATATATCCATCCCAATGATCCGCAAAGGCAATTTTCGGGTTTCTGCGTCCGAGTCGCATGTCATTGTTTTGCCTCTCTGTTTCTTCCTTTAAAGGGTCGAGGATTCCTCCTTTTGTCGCAAGTTTCCAGTTTGCGTCAAATCACTTCTTAACCCCTACGCTTTTGAATCTTCGATTACTCCGCACGATGACGACTTCACAATCAGGAAAGGGCACAAAGTGAGAAAACTCCCAATCGACACTTGCCCATCCCGATCCCAGAGTGGCGGCTGCTAACACCTGCCTGTCAGGACCGTGTTCACGTTGAACACTGGTGCGAAGATGCCCGGCGTTGGACTCGGTACCTGGCAGTCCAAACCCAACGAAGTTCGCGAGGCCGTCAAAAACGCTCTGCAAATTGGCTACCGCCACATCGACACGTAAGAAGCCTTCTTCTGCCTGACCGTAGGCAGCGTCGTATCCTAACTCGTTTCAGCGCTCTTGCATACGGTAACGAAGCAGAAGTCGGTCAGGGGATCATCGACTCCGGCGTTCCCCGCGAAGAGATCTGGATCACGACCAAGCTCGACAATCCCTGGCACAAGCGTGTCAACGAAGGTATCGAGTCCTCTTTGAGAGATCTGAAGACGGACTATGTCGATCTCTACCTCATGCACTGGCCCAGCTCCACTGTGCCGGAGGATTTGAAGAAACACTATGATGACTGGAACTTCATTGACACTTGGTGGGCGATTTTAGAGACTTTGTTTAAACGCAGTCCATGCTAATCTCCGAACAGGCGCGAGATGCAGAAACTCGTTGGCACTGGCAAAGTTCGAAATATCGGAGTGTCCAACTTTGTCATCTCCAACCTCGAGAAGCTTCTGAATGCGCCCTCGACGAAGATTGTGCCTGCTGTCAATCAGATTGAACTTCACCCTAACATGCCTTCACCAAAGACTCTGGCGTACTGCAAAGAGAAGGGAATTCACGTCACCGCATACTCGTGCTTGGGCTCGACGGACTCACCTCTAGCCCACGACCAGACTCTCCAAAAAATTGCGGATGCACACGGCAAAACTCCTCAGCAGGTGCTGTTGATGTGGGGGCTTCAGGTGCGTAGAGTTCACGAGACACATGTCCTCGATGGTCTCTCACAACAACTCCAAAATATGCTGTTTCAATGTACTGACACTTTTCTTCCAAAACAGAGAGGCACCAGCGTCATTCCGAAATCTGTTACCAAGTCTCGCATTGAGGCAAACTTCCAACTGGACGGTTGGGAATTGTCACAAGAGGAGATGGATACTTTGAGCAACATCAAGACTCGCTTCAAGGTATGCGGCGATTCGTGGTTGCCCATCAAGGTCTTCTTCAACGAGGAGGGCGATGGCGGCGATGTTCCTTCCCATTAGTTGTGTTGTTCCTCGAAACTCTGGAGAAGCAACGATCCACCGAGCCTGGAAGTCTGCGAAAGAAACCTGCTGCGGCGTTGGGAAAGCAACGCGCGGTGATTCGAGCACGGGAAATTGGGTTGAAAGAGAGAGAAATGTTGCACAATATATCACGGAGCATTAGATTCAGGTATAGACACGGAGAGACCCTCGTCTTTGCCGTGGTAAGAGATTCTTTGCGCAACCAAGCTCACACCCCTCTCGAGGGGTGAATTCTTTTTGGCGTTAAGAGGAGAAAGGTCTACATCCTCGCGGGGCAGTGTTTATTGAAAAATCTCTTTGACGTAACCGCATTTCCAGGAATCTGATGCCACAGCGTTTCTGGGGCTCGGCATTATATATTTTGGGCTACGATTCGTC